AGCGTGAGCGCGTTCTGGTTGAAGTAGGTCTGGAACACCACACGAGCGTCACCATGAGCGTCGCGTCACAACCGTCACCTCGTCGCCGACACCGGCCGCGTCTTGGACTTACCGTGGACATGAGCGAGTCCAGCACGCTGACGGCGAAGGCCGTACCACACGCAAAGGGCTGCGTCAGGTAGAGCTCCGTGTCGGGGTCGTCGTCGTCGTCCTGGTCGAGGAACTGGACGTTGGTGTCGTTAACGAGCTCGGTGATCATGGGCACGTTAGCGCCGTACACGGAGCCGCGCCGCTGTAGCACGATGGGGCTGCCCACCGGGGTCAGGGCCGCCTCCTCGTTCTGGCCCTGGCTCAGCACGCCGATCGTGTCGTCGAACGTCATGGCCTTGATGTTGAGCGAGGCCAGGATGGCCTCCTTGTCGGCCAGGGTCGGGTCGTCGTTGCTGGGCACCTTGGCCGATAGGATCACGCACATGTCGCACAGGTTGACGTTGACGGCTCGCAGGTCCGCTCGCGACAGCGGGGATCCCTGTTGGGCGGCCAGGGTGTTAAAGATACAAGCCGAAAATTTTTGAAACGCACACACAAAAAACAAACATTAAACTGAAAACTCAATTAATCGACATTGACAAACAAGCGAAAGAAATTTTAAAAGGGCTATTTTTTGAAATAAAATTGATGACTGTCATTTTCGGAAGTAGGCAGTAGCAGGTCTTTTATCGTTCTTTCTTTTTCATTCCGAGTTTCAAAATTTCTGAATTAAATTTTTGTGACGGAGCCGTGGCCCGTGGCGGCTGTACTCACGTTGAGGACGGAGATCTTGGGCAGGTTCTGCAACATCTTCCACTCGCGGCGGATGTACTCGACCGAGCCCACGATCACGACGTGCTTGAGCTCGTGGTAGTGGAAGTTGGAGGCGCGCAGCGGCATGACGAGGTTGCGCAGCCCGATGAGGGGCGAGTCCGGGTCGGCGAACAGGCACACCACCACGTGCCCGTTGAGCACCGTCATGGCGGCTTGGTTGCGGTCCTGGGACAAGGATAGCAGTCACGTTCTAGAGTGTCCCTAAAAGACTGTCTCTACCGGAAGGAAACGCGCCCCTCGCCCCCTCTTCCCTCCTTGCTCTTTCCTAATTTATATATTTTTTTTTGGTGTGTGTGGCTTTCTGATTTGCGTTGAGGCCTGATAGTTGGTAAACGGCAGATGCTGCCTAGTTCTGTAGCACGATCTCCCATTGACAGCACTGACCTCAAATTAAAGGGCCCTGGCGTGGGAAAAGCTCCCCGGGTAAAGTGCCTAAGACTGTCTCCGGGGCCCCTAAGTTCGGGTAGACCCAGGTAGACCTCCGGCCCGCCTAAAGTGCTTAAGACTCTCCGAGGCCCCTGACTTCGGGTAGACCTCCGGCCCGCGTTTGTGCCTAGGACTGTCTCCGGGGCCCCTGAGGTCGGGTAGTCCTCCGGCCCGCCTTGCTCGCGTGCATGGCGGGCCTGCCTGACCCGCCGACCACAGGCGCCCGCCAGCAGCAGCACGGATCTGAACTCTGTTGTTTTTGCCCTCACCAGGATGCAGTCCTCCAGGCTCCGCGCCGGGCTCCAGTGGAACATGCCCGTCGAGTCGTACTTCATCTCCGTCTTCTCGAAGTCGAAGTCCTTGGCCTGGTCGTCGGCGATGCCCACCTGCAGGTTGTTGTTGGCGGCCGCCTGGTTGGTGCCGCTCGGCGCCGCGCGGCTCGTCGGCCTGCCGAGGAAGAGGCGATGAAGGGCGCGAGCGCGGCGGCGAGGAGAGCGCGGTGAGTCTCAAGTTTGGGATTTTAAAGTTCGGAAATTTTTTCGGGAAGATTAAAAGAAACTTTTCCAGAATTATTTTTTGGAAAAAATTGGAATATTTCCAGAAAAATTGATTAAAAGAGAGACTTCTCAGAAAAATAACATGAGATATTAAAAACAACAACATAATCTTAATCTTGAAATTTTCCCCGAAGTGGTTTTCCGGAAAATCAAAATCCCTAGACACGAGGAAACGCGCTCGCGCATGTGTGACGAAAGGTCGTCACACTTCTGGCGCGAAAGTTTTAAATGGGAGGGGGGCAGACTTTTGTCCTCGATGATGCCCTTTGGTTCGAAACAAAATAGTACAGGGAGGGGGGGGGGGGGGTAATTTATAAATTTGAATTACGAAGTAGCTTATTGCAAAATGTTTTTAATAATAGAAATGTAAGGAAGCCATGCAGTTTGAAGTATTCTGAACATTGAGAG